TGTCCCACATATGAGTGGAATCAGATTTCTGAAACTTTTCTGACTTATTTCGCTTAGCATGATATTCTCAAGGTCTACCATGTTATAATTTTTGAGAAAGGAGCCGAAAACATACAAAGGAGAAAAGAAAGCCTCTTTAATTAATGGTGCTGGGAAACTTGGAAAGCCACGTGCAAAAGGGCGTTTTTCTGACCACCTCCAAAGATCTGTCACCTCTGAGAGCAATGTAACACTTTGCAGCTGGAGGACATATTAACCATCCTTATCACTACCTATTTATGCCTCAGTCTAAAAATCCAAAAATAAGTAAGCTCACCCAGATTTAATCGGTTTCCAAAGCGGATTTAGTGGGTTTGGATTTACTATTTTCTGAACACAGCTTAGATGTTAATAAAGTAGATGAATAATAAACTTACACTAAGAAGAGTATCCCCAAGACTGCTTTTCCCTCACTCCTGCCTTGCTTACACACTTGTCAGTATATTAGGGTTTTATTTCCTTCATGCCAGGTATCCCACAGATTTTGAGACAACTAAAGGCCCTTAGTGAAAAATACAAGAGATTCTGAAAATGAGGAGACAAGTTCTTATTTATTAAAAAGAATGTATTTTTTAGCATAGGGTCAATAGACTGAATAGAGAATTTTCATGGTATAAACAATATTAAAATATACTAATTATAACAATTCTAGCAAATCCCAGAGTACACTGGATCACAGAATAAAAAGCTTGTTTCTAGATGCTGCAACTATAGTTTATTCTTTTCTACGTAAACAACTCAGGCAAAAGCAGAATAGAATTAGAATGGGGGGAAAAAATACTCTGTGGCCAGGGGAAATTTTCACACCTCTGCAGGACAGAGGGGTTAAAGTGTATAAGTACCAGACATTAAACAGAGAGAAAGCAGATCAGCAAAGAGTGCTCAGGTTCTACGTATCACATGGCCTCCTATTCCTATGGTGAATCGGCACATCCTTCTAGAAGCACCTAATGGATTGGGGGAATGCTTGGTATTCATTCCGTTAGCAAATACGCTGGGCACCTACTATATTACAACCTCTGGTTCTAAGCACTTCCTTATAGCAGGGGATAAACAAGTCCCTGTTGCCCTGCGCCATGTATTCAAATGGAAAGAAAATAGGCAAATAAGCAACTGATATTTAGCACGCGTAAGCACTCACTTGCTAGCTGTGACAAGAATCTAAGTGTGAGTGTGGGAATTAATGGGTGAGGTGAAGTGGAGGAAAAGGTCACCTACTAGGGAGGAAACCAGAAGCTAGGCTCTGGGATGTTTTATACAAATGGTTATTGGCATCCAAATGGAAGAGAAATCTGTTAATGATCATAAGAGTTCAGATGAAGGGGAAGATTGTCAACCAGAAAATAAATCCTCAATAAGAATGTCCATAAAGTAAGAAGATGATTGCTATAGTAGAGGAAGGAAAGAATGATACAGCTAGAGTTTCTATCCCTGAAGGGTTTTGATTTGTTTGAGACTAGCTGCTGTTCATTACACTTTACACAAAGCAGTACAGTAATCTCCCCTTATCCATGAGTATACATCCCAAGACCACCAGTGGATGGGCCTGAAACTGCAGATAGTACCGAACACTGTATATACTGTATTTTTTCTATACACACATACTTATGATAAATTTTAACTTATAAATTAGGCACAGTAAGATATTAACAAAAATAGTAATAAAATTGAAAAATTATAATAATATGGTGTAACAAAGTTATGTGAATGTGATCTCCCTCTACACACTCAAGAAGGTATTTTATTGTAGTTACTCACCCTTCTTCTTGTAATGATGTGAGATGATAAAATAGCAAACCTATTCCTGAACCTGTGTAACCACTTCCAGTAAATGGTTTGGTGTCACTTGTTTCAGGGTATCCCTTGCTGAAGTCTCCTTGTAGGCTCACTGTTTTCTGGCATAACACATTGCCCTCAATCAGAACAAGTTCCTATTCATGCCCTCCACCCAAGAATTTAATACATTTTTCATTTTAACTAAGCACTTATCACACACTGTGGCCACAACTTTTGCAATATGAGGTGCAACAAACAGCAAAACTAGCACAAATTTCTTCTTTTCTTCTTTACAATTTTATGAGTAGTAAATTTGTTCTTACTATAGATCTTAGCAACCTCAGCATATGATTTGTTTTTCTTTCCCTATTAAGTAGAGAATTTTCACCTTTTCCTGAAACTTTATGGTTTCTCGTTGGAGTATCCAAATGGCCGGCATTACTAGTCTTGCCCTTTGTGGCCATTAGTAAGTAAAATAGTGTTACTTGAACACAAACCTTGCGATACCACAACATGACAATCACTGTGATAAGCAAGGTGGCTACTAAGTGACTAATGGTCAAGGAGCATATACGATGTGGATACACTGGACAAAGGGAGGATTCACCTCTCATGGGACTCTTGAGATTTCCTCATGATACTTGGAATGGCACTTTAAAATGTATGAATTATTTCTGGAATTTTTCATGTAATATTTTCAGACTGTAGTTGACCTAAGGTAACTAAAACCACAGAAAGAGAAACTGCAGATAAGGAGGACTACTCTACTTTTTATGTCAAATATCTTAAGCTATAAAATATTTAGTATTATTAAATTTAAGTTTATATTATGTTTGAATGTACTGAAAGATGCATAGGATTTTACTGAGTGAGAAGGAATGTGTGAGTCAGATTGCTCCAAGGAAAAGTTCTATGTACTAGAAAATTCACTTGTATTGTCACCACAAAGTGTGAGGAAGAGAAGCTGGTAATACGTATATTGTCTATTAGAAAGAAATCAAGTACAGGTTTGGCACGACAAAATAATTATTGTTAATTTTTAGGTATGATAATGGTCCTGGGTTATATTTTTTAAAAGTCTTTATACTTCAGAGTCGTATATTGATGCATTTTTGGATAAAATGATATGATGTTTGAACTACTTTTAAGTTAATTCAAGGTGGGAGGAAGAGTACAGATAAAACAAGATTGTCTATGTGTTCACAAGAGTTGAGGCTGAGTACATAGGAGTTTATTGTACTTCCTTTGTTTTTTGTGTATGTTTGAAAATTTTCAAAACAAATGTAAAATTTAAGCAAACAAGCAAAATACATGCAAGGGACCCTTTCTGTGAATCATGGATGAAACCTGCTGTCCCTAACGTGGTTGGCACAGAAAGCATGTTAGCTTAGTTCCACTTCACCCTTCTGTTCTATAACTGGCAGTATACAATTTGAGTATCTTATAAATATACATGATTTGTTTCCCCGTTTCCTCATTTTGGTTATCCTTTCTTGGTGTGTTGCAGAAACCTTTCTCTTTTTTTTAAGGAAACTTGACCCTTTCGAAACAAATTGGCGTTATAAAAGCAACGGTCTATGGTGTGGGAAAATTTTCAAGCTCCCTTTGAGAAAGAAGGTTCCACGGCTCTTTCCTTCACCATCAAATTACTAGCTGTCCACCAGTTGCCATAATGCATCCTTTTTCCTCTGTCCCTTGGGTTTCAAATCACAGGAGCTGGAAAGAAAGCTGCAGGGTGAGGAGTCGCAGCGCCAGCCCTTTGTTTCCTCAACAGCGGCCACCTACGCACACCTGCATCCACGCGCGGGCGCGCGCAGCCACGGCAGGTGGGAACGCGGGGCGCCCCC